ATACCAAAACTTTTCATGTATATATGGACAATTATTTTTCCAATATTCCACTCTTTAAATATTTGCGTGATAATGGTATAGGTGCATGTGGAACTGTCCGTACTAATTCAGCTAAGTTCCCTAAGGAATTAAAAGTAGGAAAAACTCTATCATTAGATTGGAACACACTTTCTGGCAAGGTGATAAATGATGTTTTAGTTACTTTATGGATTGACAATGGGCCAGTAACAATGCTTACCACTATTCATAAAATTAATGGTGACGAATGGAAAGTTATTTGTAATCGAAGACGCCCAAGAGAAACTAGCTCTAATGCTAATATGGTATATCAAGTTTTTGGTAATGCCTCTAGAAAAGAATTGGCAATTCCAAAAATAATTGATGATTATAATCACTATATGGGAGGTGTTGATATTGCTGACCAACTAAGAGGCTATTACAACTGTCAATTAACTGTTCGTCGTACCTGGTTTCCTTTATTATTTTGGCTGTTGGATACTGTACTTGTTAATTGTTCTATTATTTACCACAAAGTCACAAATGAAAATATTAAAAATAAAACCTTTAGAATTAATCTGGCATGGGCCTTGATCAAAAGTACTCTGAATGATATCAATAGAGTTGAAACCAGAAATCAATCTTCTGCTGCTCAGGATCAGACACAATTAAAACTTGCTTATGTTACCAAAAATTTTGAGTTGCCTGTTTCCCGTTTATTACCTGGAGAACATTTTCCAGAATGGAGAGAAAAGAGAGCAGTATGTATATACTGTAGGTATTTGGCTAAAAGTAACTCTAAAAACAGTAAAAATGAAAGTCAATTATGGTGCATAAAATGTGATGTGCCTCTTTGTTGTTCTAAAACACGTCCTAATTGTTTTAAAGATTTTCATACTACAAATAAATAAATTTATTTATATGATATAATTTTTAATTTATAAGAATTATATAGACAATGTAAATTTTTTTTATTAATGCATTATACAAGAATACATAATAATTATTCTTTAAAAAATACAAATAAACTTATACATAAATAACATAAATTTAAGGAACATAAGTGCCTGCCTTCAAATGGTCATTACTTCTCAATGGCTTATCTGTTTGCTGAGATCTTTGATTGTTTGGACTCACAACAAAGTAAAGAAAAAATATGGTCTAAGAATATGGTACCCTATCATAGCTTGGATAAAGTATAATTTGCAAAAATTCAAAAATTTTATTTAAAATTTTTTTAAAAAAATTTTTTAAAATGCATATTACTCTTTAATTATGTATCCTTTCACTATATATTTTAGCTCATTTAAATCTCTAGGACAAGATTAATCTTTTTTCTTAATGGTCAAAGT